AGATCACTAAAGAGTGCATGATTTTTCTCCTGAAAGGTACGTTGTCATCCTTTATAGCCGAACATGTGACACTACAAGCTCGAAGATCGTCCTTCTTCTATGCCTAATATTGGTCAAGTTAAGAATGGTCTTAAAACAATTAACCCAAAGAAAGCCACTGNTTATTTTACAAAAAAAACAAATGATGTTTGTCATTGGAATAATTGCACGCTTCAGCTAGTGCGTCAATTATTTTTGTCTTGAAAAGATGTTTTCCAAATGCACGCATGACATATTCTCAGAACAGTTACTTTGAGTTAGACTGCGAATGTATTTTCAATAAATACTCGAATATATTTTGGGCGCGATACGGAGGCGTGTGGAGGAGGGGTTTCAGCTTTGTTTCTAGACATGATGAAAGAAGGCGTTTGAATGAATGTAAAATCTCAAAAAGTATTKCTTTCTAATTAAACCGAACAAAATGTTGGACTCTTCAAAATTTGCCACAAACAGTTCCTAACGATAAATCTATACTTTAATTTATGTACGTTTGTCGTGAAATCTCGAACTAAAAATATTCAAACAATACAGCATTGTGCTCGCTATAATCAAGGCAATAATCGCCGATTGAACGACGGATGTGGTGAATGAAAGTTCCATATGATTTTTGAGATCTGAAAATGTTCACTTGAGAGCAATGGAGTCAATTCTTTTAAAGAAGAGCAAAACAACAAACATAAAATGAAAGAAAAGGGCGTGAAAGAGAGAACGAAAGCAAGATGTAATGAATGCAACAAATAACTGAATTAGAAAAAAAATTATTCTACCCGAAAATGAACAGTAACCTTTAAATCGACAGATCAAATCCGTTCAAATACTGAAAGTTTTAGACTACTATAAAGCTAATAAAATAGCATTTAACGATGTCTTTTATTTGTCCTGTCGATCGCTTTGTTTAAATCTCGATAGCGGACCAGCTGCCATCACTTTCAAAATCAGCGATTTCGAGCAATTGGGAGATACGTGACGGCTTGGCAAGAAAAAAGCTATAATATTTTCGATAATTAGCGGAAATACTTTTAATTGTTTGGAAACTGAGTGCATGTGGTTTAAAGGGCCCTGGAAAACTACTCAAGTCTAACAACAAAATAATGCACTCTAATAAAATTCAACGTAGATTACTTTATTTTATAAAATGGATAATTAAACTAAATAAACTATTTTGAACTGGTCGAGTACTTTTGAGAAATCATCTGTATAGATAAGAAGATAATAGTCTGATAATAGAAAGTTTTGGACGAAAGGAGATGTGACAATACAAGAATACAAATTAACTAATAACTAGCATCTATGTGTACGAATCTATACGCTAAAGCATGACCACATCAGTTATGTAGTATATACTACCGTATATTTGGTTTAATCAGTTTCTGATCATTAATAAAACTCAAGATCATAAGTTTTAAATCTGAATATCAGTGTAAAATCAATAAAATCATTTATACGACATAGCTTACCTCATTTCCTTTGCTCTAGTCCTTTTAACGGCGTCTTGATGATTTTACTGTTCCTGTGTGGGTCAGTTTGCTCAGTTCTCGAAATCGTAAGTACTCTTTAAAATAATGTCGTTGTCTTGTATAGGTCCAAATTTATACCACACAAAAAGTCAAAATATCAGTTACATTTGACAAARAATTTCTTCAACATCAGTTTTAGAGATCTGGTGTTATTTAGCATTTTTTTAAAAGTTAGAGTTTTAAACATGCTCTTCTTATTTCTTCATTCGTGGCAATGTAAATAACAGGGTTCACCAACGATGTCAATAAGAACGAAGCTTGAGCTATTCGTGCAAGAACATAATTCGTAGCTGCTCYATACTTGGTCCAAGTCGTAATATAAACGAGGATTAATGGAATGATCCTTGTAAACAGAATGCCCCATGCAAGGTATGTTGCAATTTTGGCTGCTTTTCGTTCTGATATGGCAATACRATTGCTTTGCGAAGCGAGGTGAAGAATTTCTTGTGTTTTATTTTGAATTTGAGAGTTGTCTACTTCCACATCGTCTTGTCTCAAATCCGAATGTGTGTTTTCTTGGATATTTTCTGAACAACTTTGGCCCTGAATTTGAGAATGCTCTTGGGGKATTGGCCCTTGTTCCTGACTTATGCTGGATTCGCCTTCGTTTGAGCTGGAAACTACTACAGAAATGTTTTGGTCTATGTTCTCGGGAACATTCAGATTCTGATGTGGAACTTGTAATTCCTCTAGGCATTGACTTATTACGGATTTATTTTGCTCTTGTAGACGATTATTTGATTCAGTATTGGGTTTTCGAACTTGAGGCTTGTTGAGGCAAATTTGTTTCTTGTCTTGTTTTTGGTTTCTCTTGTGAATGGTCCAGCAAATCAATACCGCGAAAATAAMARTAGTAGCAAAAGAGCAAACGAAAAGGAAGAGGGATGGAACTWTTGCTKTTTTAGTCATRCTTCTGGCAAGGGTGAAACCGGCACCGAGAATGCAACAGAAAACGGCAATCCTAATGAGGCGACGTTTGGTGACATGTACTCGATGCCATATGGGATATCTCAAGCCGATAAAACGTTCACAATTCATTGCTGCTAATAACAGCTCACTTGGAAGAAACAGACCACTATTAAATTGAAACACCATCAAAAAGCAGCTGGATTCAAGCTTCTTCTGATAAAGTACCTCCATGAAAATGAAGGAGGGCGATGCTAGAACACTTTTGATGAAGTCAGCTAAAGTCAGGGCTATGAGAAATACAARCGCTTGTCTTCTCAAAGTTGGATTCTTGTAAAATGCCAAAAGTGCCAAACCGTTGAGAAAGGCAGCCAGCGGACATGTCAAGGCTGTTGTGATGATAGCAGAAAGAGAAACAGCAAGGGACGTAGATGTTGCCTTATTGGGATCAAGCGATTTACCTAATGACCCGCAAAAGCTTAGAACCTCTGAAGAGAGCGAGTAGCTTGGTGTGCTGTTCGCAAACGACGACATCGTTATTACGAATAATGCTTAACGATTGATTAGGCAGTTCAAGAAATAAAACGGCGCGCGTTATATTTCTTTTTTTTATATTATTTTTTGCTTCCTTCATATTAACAATATCATTCGAATAACAAAAGTCTTTAAGGCATGGTGACAATAAACTACATCCATGTTTCCTCGCGAGCTTTCCGTTTTTTTGTTGTTGTTTAAAATCCTACGTGTTCTATATCCGCCTATGCTAAAAGCTCGTTAATACTTAATAAAATAGCAAGTAAACGCAGGGGATTCTTTAATGTTTATAAAAAATAATGCTTCTTTATTGTTGAACATTTTTACTTCTTGGTGTTGATAACTTTTGAAAATGTAAGATTTTCCTCACATGCTTCTGCTATGTAAAATATTATGACATGTAGCAAGCTAAAGTTAAAGATAGTAAGATAGAGTATAAAATTCTTTAGCCAGATTCAAAACTTCATTTTAAAACAGTAAGCTTTATAGATTAAAGAAGATACGAATCTTTAAAAATGTTCATTGTTATAAAACGGTGGACGTCGTGGACGTCAGGATGTATACTCAATCAGACTTGCTTTCATGTCAATGTAGATAATACTGCGTTTATAACTTTAGATAATTGTTAAATTCTCTTATCAGTTTTGAGTCAAATTCTATGCTAATGATACTGATTGTCATATCAATAAAAAAAAAAGAAAAAAATTCATATTTCAATTTTCATATTTCGATTTTTAAAAGATGGATCAGTTTGTTACTGTAAATTTGATGGTGATTTGAAAGAAGTGTGTTTTGGAAGTCCATTTTTATTTCAAGAAAATGATATTCCGTGCATGCTCCACGTATTGCGGAATTAGCAAAATCTAGCAGGAAATCCCATTCTATTTGTAATAGTTATATTATAAACAAAATATAGCATATTCTCACGGACTTTATCCTTATTATATTGCTATAATTTTACTGCGACAATCATAATTCCTTCGCATTTATTCACCGCAGTTCGTCCAAAATATTGTATTCCCGAGCAAAAGTGAAATATAGATATTCAATTAAATTAAATTGGCCCTTCAGCTGAGGCTGTAATCTAAGTCGTACACAGTCCACTCTCTCGGGCGAAATGCAACAAGGGAAGCTCTGAGAGACAAAAGAGAAAAGGTTCGAGGGACAACTGTGGACGATTTGGAGGTGACTTGATTGACAGAGGCGACTGACGTCAATATTCTTTACTAACAAGTTAAAATAAAACACGACTTAAATGGTTTTGTGTTTTTCTTGAAATAAAAATTCAATACTTTTGGCTGAGCGCGGCAAATCTTTATGAAAATACATCAAGAATGACGAAGGGAAATTGTCCTTAAAGTGTATGTGAAAATATCAGCTTGCAATAGCTAAGCGTCACATGCAATATGTCAACTGGCTTACGGCCAACACGCTACGCTCGTGTTCCTAAGCTTGCTTCTCTCGTCTTTTTCGAACTCCCACCATGTTTATATCAGAGGACAGAGACACGCGCGCCGTTTTATATTTCTTAAATCAAAACACACATTTTAGCCATATACAGCTTTTTAAGAAAACGTTGAGTACTGAATACTACATTTTGCATAGTGCGTCCCAAGACCGCAATGCATTACTGCAAATATACTCCATGTTGGCTGCCTGACAAAATGACAATTCTTTGCTTTCCGGTTGAATTTTTTTTTTAACTTCGATAAAACGACCAGCAATGCATTATTCAAATTATAGTCCACGTTACCTGCCTGACAAAATGACAATTCTTTGCTTTGCTTTCCAGTGCATTTTTTTACTATACGAAGCTGAAACTACGAAAACTCATTTTTAACGTCAATAAAACGACCAGAATTGCATTGTGGTCTTGCGATATGCTATTTTCAGCATTCAACGTTTTCTGAAATAGCTTCTAAACTTCATTCAAATATAATGATAAGGTGAAAATGACTAAACAAGAGAATCAAAGACAGTTCACTTTTGAAATTTTGCTTCAGCTATATTTTGATATCCGTTTTATTTAAATACGCATAATTGTGTCGAATTTGTTTTGGAGAGGTGGTGTTGTGAAAATGAACAATTCAGGTGCGTCATTCCGTACCCGAGGGAACTTCTCTCATACTCGTGACTATGTCGATTTTTCGTACTGTTTCATTAACAACACGATGTAATGACATGTTGGAGCCAAAGTTTGACCCGGGTCGGCCAAAATTAAAACCTCCATTTTGACGTCCCAGTCCTAACACTGATGCGGGCCGCGGTCGCCTATTAGAAACGCTTGTTGCAGAAAGTTCTACTGGTTTGCTGTTTAAAGGTCTTGAGACTTCGTTAATTTGCTCCGTSGATCCTCTTCGAGAGCGYAAATCGATGAATTTTTTAACCAATARTTTCCAATCTAGTACTTCTTCAATACGCGGGTTCCGTGTAATGCTCTCACGATGATGCCTGACTGTTCCATTGGGCAGCCACGATGGGACATGATGCTCGGTGTACAGGGCGTTTAGATTCACTGATAAGTTGTCTGGTACTTGGTCGCCAGTTCGTAGAATATCAATGATGTCTGCACGACAACATCTGCATTTCGCTTTGTATAAGATCTTAAGGTACGACATAAACTTGGTAATGAGGTTAAGCGGGGATGGGGTTGTCGTAGAACGCTTCATATTGCGTATCAGTTTAGCGCGACCGAATTTCCACTCCGTATCAGACTGTCTCTGGATTCTCTGGTACGTGTCACTCATCATAGCAATGAGTAAGTTAATCAGTACAATGATAGTAATAACGTTGTAAATACCGAACGTTGCCTTGGCGATGAAGTGAGTGGCGCGAGGRTGTTTTTCTTGAGGTACCAAGCTGTCCATTTCAGTGAGTCCAAATAAACTAAAAAACAAAAGCTCAAAGCAGAAGAAGAAACCAAACGTAGCGTTCTCGTTTACCTTGTGTTCTTCTTKCGATTCGCCGTACATTGGCCGGTAGACAGCCGTCAGGTGCGCCGTRAAGCCAAGCATGAAGATAAGTAAAATAACAAGGAAACGYACGAGGTCATACATGAGGTCCCGGATGATGACCCCCCAYGGACCAAACAAGTGATGGAAGGAYAAAAAGTCTAAGAGTTGAGCAAAACACAGCATCATTCCAAGAGCAAGGAACTGATTACGAGTGTAGATCATATCTATGCGATTTTCTTTGTCCACAGCGTTGGCAATGAGATGAATAAATATCGCGATGAGACTGAGGAAAAGCACAATTACAGGTATCCAACCCAGTCCTGCTCGATCGTGGGGATCTGTTAGCTGAGACAATAACAAACCCGATAGCCATATGACTAGAAGCCACTCRTACCATCGAGGTATCAASGAATAAACAGGACTACTCCACGGCACCACAGTCGTTAAACAAAACAATAGAATCAAATACAAATGGGATATAAGATGACAAATGAACTTAATAATCGGTACTTTGTGGAAGCGGTCTTTCCAAGGAAGACACAAAAATGCCCAAAATGGCGGACAAATCAGACACAGAATGAACAACAAAAAGTATTTCCAGTCATCCCATTTGAAATCCCCACGCCAGACGTCCCCTAGGTAGACCTGAACTGTAGGGTGTGATACACAGTCTTTTTGTTCAGTCTCTATCAAAAAGTCAAGAAAAGGTACATCACGGTCGTCAACCGCTGTTAGTAACCCTTCTGGATTGTCGGCGCATGCTARTGAAAGAAGCTCTACRGCAACATTTGAGCAGACTTTGCTAACAGCCACTAAGTCGCGACCTCTTTCTTTCTCTCGGGTGGATTCAATTCGGTAGTGGCGGGAAAGTTTAGCAGCGGAGTAGATTGGGGCTGGCGTTTGGAGAATGAAGTCAACCAGCGATCTGTAATCAACGGTCATCGAGCAGACCATCAGGTCAAATAGGAACTAATATCAGAAAATAGAATGTATTAAATAGAAAATATTACTGGAAATTTTAAACTATTATGTCTTTTCCAGCAACGTAGAAATAGCTTAGATKTAATCATATTATCAACATGGCCGCCATCTTGAATTAGGATGTCCAAGGCCGCGGCAAAAGCATATAYTATTTGCCGATAGTAGTTGTCTTTCTCTTATGAATAATTCTGTGCTTCAGGATTAAACTTAYTGTTTCAAAAAAGCAAAATGCGTTCTATTTTGAATTAAATCAAAATTTTACAGAAGAAAACAGAATTCAAGACGGCGGCCATATTGGTAATACATGATGACGTAATCTACCTTCCTGTCGGCTACAAGTCGTTCGGTATTCATTTCTTGCTGCAAGAGATAGCTGACAACGCTTAAATGACCTGACGCTGCCCCATAGCAGATTGGAAACTTGCCATCCTGAATAAAAAAAATCCAGTAAATTGCTATATGTGACAGAGTATGAACAATTCCATTTTTTATACTACTTGCGCGATGACGCACTTTTTTTATCATATTCTTAACTCTCATTTCATTTCAAATCTTTCTAATGTTACTATGGTTCTCTTGTGTTTCTTGAACGAGTGGGGTATGAGTAAGGCCTAATATATATTACAAAAATATATTGTTTGTGTTTTAAAGTTTACGTTATTTTCGACGCGTGGAGAAGCGCCAGACTCAACAAGAAGACGGACAACCTCGACTCGACCCGAGTCTGCTGCCATGTGAATAGGAGCGCAGCCATTCTAAAGGAAAAAAATCAAAACAATAAATTAATACACTAAATGTATTGCCCATTCATCTTCCTTGTCCAAAAAGTAACAGGAATATCCACGTGGGTGTTCATGCGACTCATTCATCAAAATTCCTTTTATCAAAWGTTTCTGAATAGTTTTAATTAAACATGATTATGCATTTCAATATTTATATATAGTTTGTATAATTGTACAGCAGACTGAGCTCACCTCGTCAGGCGCATTAATATCAGCTCCCTGRCCAATCAGCTGCGAGACTAGTTCACGATGACCGTTAGCAGCGGCTAAATGCAGGGCTGTTCTTCCAGTCTTGTCTTTGACATGAAGTTGAACAGTTGACTTGCTTAGTAGTATACTAACGACCTCAGAATGGCCGTTTTCTGCCGCGAGATGAAGAGGAATTGAGCCCTGTAGAACACCGCAAAAAAGTATTTTTAAAAATATAGCTTAAGAATAAAATAGGACAACAACTACAACAGCAGCATCAACAGCGACGACAACATAATTGTTGMTGCCGATGTAGTTAAACCATATTGGTGGACAGAACCACACTCATGGTACAACTATAGCATCGACACAAAATGACAAAACTGAACATAATATATGAAATGAAAATGGATGAAATACACTAGAATTAAATGGAATTGAATAAACAGAACAAGAGCAAAATTGCATTCTATACCTGCATTGCTGTAGCTGAATCCACGCGCACACCCGGTGAGTTCAGCAGTATCCTCACGACGCCCACGTGACCTGATTGAGCAGCTAAGTGTAGAGGTGTGTAGCTATACTATTGAATACACAATGAACCATAAAATCAATAAACTCTTGATATGTTGATAATGTCTTTAATTGTGTTAATTTAATGTAATTCAATTAATATTTTGCATTGTATTCTTCAGTAATTTTGTCTGATACTCCCGAATCCAACGAAGAAAATGAAATGGGACAATAAAGTGGAGTAACTTACACTCAAAAAGTTAGTTACTGGTTTTAATTAATACTTATAATACATAAACAGCGATATGTTGAATAAATGTCGTACTTACATCGGAACCAGATTTTTCTGTGTCCGTCATYGATGGGGACTCACTTTTGATAGTACCAGGGACTTTGACAAGCATTTCACGAACCACGTCTATTTGTCCGTAACGAGCTGCCACGTGAAGTGCGGTGAGACCCGTCTGAATGAAATAATAACATAGAAAAGTTTACAAAACAAGTTATTTGGCAACATAGTATTATACATCTGTTGCTTTATACATGTATTACTGAATAAATTTGGCTTCCATGCTCTCTATATCTACATATGAGAGGAATATGGTAGTGGATGGGATACTCTGAATGGAAGGAACATGAAAACAAGATTAGCGTTGCACGCCAGTGGGCGACGAGAAAACTGGCTGAGTAAAAAGTACCTGGTTTACACATATGGCATAAGTTAAGTTCTCGAAAATTCCAGAATAAACTGGAATTGAGGTCCTTCGACTGCCCTTTGCGCTATTAGACATAAAAGGCAATCTGTARATAATGGATCATCGTTCCATAATTTTTTGCCTAAAATTATAAAACAAACCTTAACACTAGCCATACTCCAAGGCACTTTACCACGTAATACTTCCAGGACATCGACATGGCCGTGCTTGGCTGCAAGATGTAGRACTGTCATACCGTCCTAGATAATCACAATGTCACCGTTAAATCTATGTTAGAACAAAATAACATAATCGACCGTAACAATACCGCGTCTTCATCGCTTGCAGAGGCACCATAGCCAATCAGAACTTCTACAACTTCTTTGTGTCCACCACTCGCAGCGAGTAGCAGCGGTGTCGCGTGTTTACTCTGAAAAAAAAAAAAAAAATGACGGAAGGAATTCATTGACAAATTCTTCGACACGGTTATGTTTTCTCATTTCAGTATTCTGTAGCAAGGGAGGCCGAGCGGTGAGAGCGCTGAGCTGTCACCTCTATGGACCCTATTCGAATCTAGGTCGGGGCGCCATATGTCATTTAAGTTTCTTTCGTTCTCTTCCTTGTTTCGAGGGTTTTTCCGGGTGTTTTATGGTTTTCCTTCCCTCAGTAAAAACGAAGCATTTCCATCTATCTGCTATGCGGCGCGATCAGTCGACGTTACTATGTAAAGGAAGTGCGCGCCTAGCCGGCGGCACGCCTATGCGTAAGTGTATGTAATATGTGTCTGTAATATAGCACTTCGACTTGAGAGCGCGTCGAGCTGTGCCTTTCGCAATTCAGGACCCGCCATGCTGCAATGAAGGACGATTAGCACCTAACAMCTTTTTATCTTTACCTTGTTTCTCGATGATGTTATTCCTGCAGGGTTGAACTTAGTCAACTCTTTCATGACGGAGACGCTACCTTTCATTGCAGCGATATGAACACATGTGCACCCTTCCTGTGAAAATGATTCATAGTGACAGATTCTTTAGGAAATAGAATAAGTTTAGAAAAAGGTAGACCTCGTTCACATGTTTGTAATCCACATCAACACTGTGATTATCGAAATTATAATTGAATATAATCAATACATCGCAATGACTCACCGCATTTACGTGCTGTAGAAGATCTGGTTTATGCTTAAGGAATATGGAAACAACTTCAGAGTGATCATTCTGGGCTGCATAATGTAGAGGTGTTTGTCCTCTCTGTGGAAACAATGCCACATTTCAATAAAAWCAATCATAACAAGCTTCRGTTATTTTACTCGATGACATGCATTCYTGCGACTTACATTATCTACAGCACTTATATCGCCCCTTAGTTCCAGTAAATGCCGACAAACTTCTATTCGACCTTTCTCTGCAGCTAAGTGAAGAGGAGTCTTTTTATCCTGAAAACAAAATGAAAAAAATCAACGCTAAGAAATCTTTGATAATTGGGCTTTAAAAAGTTTTCCTTATTCGCTTTTATATGTATAGCCTTAGGACAAATGTTCTGCTTACGGCACCAGACACGAATGCAGAATGCGTGTATCTGATTGCAAAAAATAAGAACTGCACTTTCTAGAACAGCAAAACTCTATCCTCATTCCTCTTACCAATGTTAGCGCATCTACAGAAGCCTGGTAGCGACTAACGAGTAGTCCAACAAGTTCTTTGTGACCATTTTGTGATGCAAGATGCAGGGGAGTCAAACCAACCTTTGAAAAAAAAAAAAACACAAAAAATTTTATTAATTCATCCTCGCTTCAATGCTGAGATCCTTCACCGAATTTGGACGAATAATATTATCGATGTGTAAAAAAGTCATATGGATGATAGAATGGTAGAAACCCCCAACTTGGAGAAATGCAAACTAAGTCCACATGGGGGTTTCAATTTATACGATAAACCAAGGCATACCTTTGTTTTTGCGTTAACATATGCCTTTTGTTCAAGCAGTTCTTGAGCCACTTCATGATGTCCTCGTTCTGCAGCAAGATGTAAAGCAGCTTTTCCAGTCTAAATAGAGTCAGTGTATGGGTAAAAAAGGCAAGTACGTTGGAATTGGATATTCCATTATGTCAAATATGAAAATGAAAGAGAAAAGACGAAATTACACCATTTTGACCTCCTTGTGGTAAATGCTATCTAAGAAGGTTTAGAACCGTAGAGAATGAAGGCAACCAAATCCTAAATCCCTATTCCAAGACCGATATGTATTGTTGGCCTTTCTATATCAGTTTCAAGAAACGTTTTCGCGGTTTTCGCGGTTTCATTGTCTTCCAACAATCGACGTGTAAATAGCAYTGCATATGTCAAATCGTTATTGATTTTTGATCTTACGTCATCAAAGACGTCACCACGTGCTTGATATCGTAACAAAGTCCGTACAACATCCAAGTGACCCTTCTCACTAGCGACGTGWAGAGGAGCAAGACCAGTCTGAAAAGGATCAAGAAAAAATCCAAAAATAAGAAARATGAAATGTGTAGTTTAATGCACAATTAGTGAATGAGTTTCAAAGGAATATAAAGAACTACAAGAGAACAAAACGCTAAAAATCGAATTGCACACTACTGTTAGAACAAAGATTGTGTTTTGATGCAATACAAAAAACCCAAGTTCCACAGTRGAACAATATACAGGCATTGTCTGATATATTCCTACAATTTTAGCTTATTTATATTGCTAAGTATTGCTATAAAGTACTGCTATATTACCGAAGAGCGTCGATTCACAGCTGCTTGGATTTTTCCTTGTGGCATCGATTGAAGAAGGATTTGAAGYGTGTCGTTGTTTCCAGACCGCGAGCACTCGTGCAGTGGAGTTTCTTTTGTCTTAAATGGAAAATAATGAAACTGGTATGAGTTTATTTTCACAAACGATATGTTTAGAAGCACTATCTCATTCGCTGCTTTCTTAAACTTTGCCATTCCAAGATGATAAATGTTTAATAGATAATATTRATAATAATAAATATATAATTATAAGACAGTACATATTTTCATGGTATGATTCAAAGTTTGGAAATATATTTATAGTCTTATTATCAATTTTATGCATTACAAGTTTCAGGTCTTAACAATGCRCATGCACTTCCTACCGTGTGTGTTACCGCTGTACAGTCACCACCGTATTGAAGAAGTATAGTAGTGATCGCAACCCCATAGTCACCTCTAGTAGATTTACTTTTGCACAAYTGAGCAGCGTAATGAAGTGGAGTCTCTCCTTTCTAAAAACGTTAACATTCACTCATTTAAGATCACAGCACGAAACATTGAAATTGGGCAACGCGAAAAATTTCTTCAATGATGTTTAAGTGAGAATTTGTTATCTAAGGAAACCGTGGTAATAGAAGCCTTGTAGTTCATGGAATTACAGCTCCAACTGGACGACTAAACAATGGATTCTCGTTCCCAAGAGAGCAAAAATCTTTTGTTTTGCCCTCCAGATGAAGCTACATAGCTTCCTAAAGCACATTAAGGAAAACCTTATCATTATACAGTTGCGAATGACGACTGAATATTGATTCTCTGCAGTCAGCAAAGTTAAGCAAAATAATGTTGTTCGTATGAATCTTTTTGGGATTTTTTACGTTGATCAACGTCATGACGAAGGCAGGATTCACAAATTTCCTTCAATCAGCGACTTACATCTGTAGGCATATTGAGAACGAGCTTTGCCACAGCTTTAGATTTAGTCTGGAACAAAACTCTTATCAGTTCTTCRAGTTCTTTGAGTCTTCCTTTCTTGATGGCATGGTGAAGAGGGGTCTCGCCGTTCTGTTCAAAAGAGAAATAATGGTTGATTTGTTTTGATTTATTTTTGTATGTATTTTGTTAGACCAGGATAGGCGTATGTCGGCTCTTTAAGTCATGATGGAAAGACATGTTTTKAAATCATGACATGAAAAGCAACGGGAACAGTTTCTTCTCGAGTTTATTCATCGTGTAAGCTGTGKCATTGGGATGGGGGAACTTGCTTAAYATCAAATCTCACATGCTAGTGAAATAGAAAATGCGTTRATAACGACTACCGGCAGCAAGCAGTTGGAGTAATCTGTGTTGTTGACATTTTTGTGTCTAAAACAAAGCAAGTCTTTTACCTTGGCTCTTTTTGCAGCATCCGCTTTCTCGCTMAGTAACAGTTTAAGGGTTGCAAGATTACCAAATGCTGAAGCAATATGAACGGCTGTTTCTCCATTCTGAAAAAACGACAATTAATTACAATAAAGTAATCATAAATATTCCCTGCGACAGTGCATCCATGCAAGCCAGGCTTTTTTAGGTCAATAAGAGGCCAGGCTCAGGCTTTGAAAGTAAAGGTTTACTACAACAAGTCTAAATCACGTTGAACTGAGCTTTAATAGCGAGTTGTAATCTTTACCATTTTAGGGCAATTGACATTGGCACCGCTCTTAATCAACATTTCTGCAGCAAGTTCTCCACCTTTGGTACCAGCAGCTATGTGTAATGGCGTTCTCTGCTCCTAAAATACATTTTTTAGTACAATATCTATAAAATACAATTTTTTAGTACAATATCTATAACATTAGGTTGAGCCAAGACCTTACTATAAATATGACAGATCTTTTCAACAAATTGTGAATTATAGTTACCAACCTTTCCTCCTTTAAGTTGAACATTGGCTCCATATCCCAATAACGTCTGAACTACTTGTGGCTTGGCGTGCTGAACGGCGATATGCAAAGCAGTGTATTCGTCCTAAGTTTATTAAGATAAATGAATAATTAATTAAGTTATGCTGTGTTTTTTTTTTCAAAAATGGTAACACGATTTAAACATTGTTATACTGAAAATGGTTGTGTGTATGAGAATTACAAGGTCTTTGAAATGATTATCACTACATATAAAGAAGTGCCAGTCCGCATTACACAGGCAACAGACCACATATTGAAATACATAGAAACGCCACTTAGTTTACCTTGGTCTTTGTGTCCACCATGGCTCCTTTGGTTAACAACGCCTTGACAACGCCCACGTGACCTCTCCGAGCAGCYGCGTGCAGACACACGGCTCCATCCTGTTAATGCATAGACATTGGCAGTGAGTATAAGAAAAACTCTCAACACAACTCCAGACAAACATACGCATCTTTTCATTCTCAAATTTAGTATCATAGTTATAAGTTCTTTGATATATTGAGTATTTTGGCCTCGCAAGACTTTGATATTAATTTCATCTTGATTTCATTTGGTCTTGACGCACAAAATCAGTTTGTAAAACTAGTTTCGTTGTATTGAAAACCTCTTCAGTTTTAAGACTTATCTATAAGTTATAAGTTATAAGTTCAGTAAGTTGCTTCACCTACTTTAAATGTATTTTTTTACACAACTGTTTTAGAAACACCGACGCAGCTCACACTAGTTTACCGCTAGTTTCCACCATCATAGTTGTATGCTATTTTGCAGGGAAAATTCTTGAAAAATTGGCATACCTTATTTGGCATATGCATTGGGACACCTCTCCTCAGGAATACCATGGCCGCCTCTGGATGACCCGCATGCGCAGCCACGTGCATCAATGTACTGCCATCCTAATAATCAAACGTTTATGATTACAACTGTACAAAGTGATATGATTACGATTAGGACTATAAAATACATTTTTTAAAAGTAATGTAGAATTAGGTTGTGGATCCAGTACTGGAATACATTTAAAAAAATATGACAAAAGTTCTGCGAATTCAAGGACTAAAAATATCATACAGAATTATCAAACCGACGTACTTTTGTTCTGAGATTCACGTTGGCTCGGAACTTATCGATGAGAAACTCAGCGATGGATGAATGTCCTTTTTGTGCAGCAAGGTGGAGTGGAGTACGATCATTCTGAAAATAAAAGCCATTAAAACAATCCAAGAAACTCTGTATCGCTACTTTTATTTTACAAATGATTCCTTGTTGAAAKGTGCTTTCTGATTGGTTCAAAATCAAAGATGGTGAACTTTCCTATGTGAAAAAAAAATTCACAAAGGTATAGGATGCACTTGGTACTGCAAACCAAGTTTTGCAATGGTTATTACAAGTCGAAAAGCATTTTTATTCTTGAAATAATCAATGGCTTACCGAATCGGATATGTTTGCATCTGCTTTGACAGCGTAAAGGAGTTTGACAATGGATTCATCGCCTTCGGTAGCAGCAACATGTAGAGCTGTTTGACCTTCCAACTAAAGTACAATAACATTTATGCTCATCAAATATATTGAATAGACAAACAAACGTACTAATCAAGTATCTTCAAGAGAACAATGAAACATCATACAATTTTTTTTTTCACTGCTGGGAGTCCTCACCTTATGCATGACGCTTTCTCAAGGTATACTGACAGTTAAGTGTACTTACGTTTTGAACATCAACTGGACAGTTGGCGTCTAGGAGTATCTTGGTTATTTCAGTATCTCTCTTYTTTACGGCGGCATGTAAACATGTTTCACCTGTTTCCTGGAAAACAAATTATCATTGATATTACAAACCATTCAAAACCGATGCTGCAGGAACCAAAGAGGTAACAAAACGGGGAAAAAAAATTAGTATCAATGGAATTCAAATTAAATTAGATAATTCTCTCAAAATTAAAACAAATCAGTCTTTTTGATACTTACAGTTTTGATCAAATTGACTTGCTGGTCAACCTGCGTCACTAAAAGCTCTTTAACAACTTGTTGATTTCCAGTAGACACGGCAAGAAAAAGGGGGGAGGCACCACTCTAGAAACACAGGAAACCCATAMATCAATCTACTSGTAATGGTATTTGACCAAATCATGTTCTTTTTTGTTTCCAAACATTCTGTTGTGTCATGAAAACAATAGTCGATTTCTTTTCGCGGTTAAAATCAAAGCGAGACAAAATTGAGCAAAATGTTTGAATTGCTGCAGCCCTTATATGAACAAGAGTATCTAGTCATGTCAAAATCATGACTTTTTAATAACTAAAATTTCAAAAGACAAAAAGCTCATAAGTGGTTGTTTACCCAATCTGCTTCGCTTAGGTGCAAACGCACAGGTCCCCAGCACAACTTGTTTTAGTCGAGAAAAGGAATATTCTCTTAACATCCCTTTTTTAGACTACAATGCTTTCGTAAACCTATCATAGCTAATAAAACCCAACTATCATTATCACGGGCCTTCAGGTTAGTAATTAAGTGCCGGCAGAAGTGAATTTCTATTTTTTTGTAATTTTTGTGGAGTACCTTTGGGGTTCTCATTGGTGAAAGGTCACCGTACAAAGCTAAACCTTTCTCAGTTACAATGCCAGAATTAGCGGTATTGAATTTTTTTTCCACAGTTTTTCATCAATGCAAGCAACAGCAACATTAAACCAACTAACACCAAATGTTTTACAAGTGTACTGATATAGATAGTAATAATTGTTCTGAAAGCACGAGCAGTCAAGAACAAACAAAAGTGGAGATGTCACCTTATCAACTGCTAGTTTGCAGTCTTTTCCTGATACTTTGAGTAGTGTTCGTACGATTTCAAGAGCCCCTGAGGGCCTGGAGCAAGCCATATGAAGAGGAAGTTGATYAAGAGGCTGTAAAAGGAGGCGAGGATCATTAATAATACTTTTRATGATCGATGTGATGCCAAAAAAGCCAACAGGGATTTTCAAGAGGTTGGAGTAGAGTAATTTTGGATAAAACTTAATTCCAACCTACATGAAGCATCATTTGGTTTCGAAACGTCTTTTATGAAATTAAAACTTTATCGACAATTTTCAATTGTATACCGTCTGCTTTCTAAACATCAGACAAGAAGAGTTCCGACATTTTGAAATGCGCCATTTTGAAATAGTCGTACCTTACGACCGGTGAGCTTAAACTGAGGAATATTAATAAGCGCACATGTCAAAATGTTCCTTTAGTATATATACAGTTACACCCATAAGAGAAAACTATTTGTTACTTACACCAGCTGGTAAAGTCGGGTCGACTTTTTTAGCCAGTAATAATTTAACGATTCCATCTGATCCTGATGAAGCCGCATAATGWAGTGCATTACGTCCTTCCTGTTGAGAAAAAAATATTAGAATTAAAGGATGCAACAACTTAAAACAAATAGGATTGACAGGAGGAGGGGTGAATCCTATACAAATACAACTGTTTGTAAAAAGACGTTTTCTAAAAAAAAAAAAACAAACAAACAAAACAAAACAAAAAAATTTTAAAAACGTTCTCCTGTCTTTGCATTTTTGCAGTATTCCTTAAAGTTCCTAAAGCGCTAAATCTCAGGATATCGGGTTCGAAATTAGTTGTAAATCAGATAAATTACTGCCGGACGTAAAAAGAAAAAAAGAGAGGGGAAAACTAGAAGGAGAGGAAAAATCGTACGTTTTACAACCGAGTCATTTAACTTGCAATTCCAAAAAGCACGTTCGGTTGTTTTTGCATGATGGGATTGACTTTCACTATAAAAAAATCTTTTGTTTTTTGCTTATACTTCCATAKACATTTGTCGACATTTTGTCGACATTTTGTGCTTATTTTGATTTGTAAAATGCTGATTTTTTTTTCAATTTTTTATATTTGCTTTATAGAACTCGTATCATTCTCGAAAGCTTGAATTAAGTATGTTGCAAATTAATTACCTCAATGACAGGAGATTTCACAACTCCGGAAAACAAGTTCGTCAAAGATTTATGTTGTGATTTCTTACATGCACTTTGCTACGTACTTTATGTGGTAGATTTATATAACAAAACATCCCAAGTCTAAATAATACCTGCTCATTAAGTAAATAAGAAAAAAGAACTTAAGTGAAACGCCTGAGGCCGAAAATTCTATAAGTTGGCTTGTATATAAAGGGATTCGGYGATTTGATGTCTAGTGAATATGTGCGTTCGAAAACGCGTCGAYCTTGGCTGTCGACATGTGATCTGATTTGCTTCGTTGTAATTTGGAATGACTAGTGTTTATAAACTCGAATCATTTTCTTGTCGATATTTACAAAAACACAATTGAATTTCATCAATTATCAGGTGATGATGATGATGATGATGATGAGGGTGATAATGATGATGATAATGTGGGTGATAATGGTGATGATGATGAGGGTGATAATGATGATGATGATAATGATGATGACAATGAGGGTGATAACGAGACTTTTAAGACTCATTAGGTACTCATAATCATTAAACCATCGATGATTTACATAAAGTTAAGAAATCTTAAAACAAGTTATGGAAAAAATAAAATATTGATGACGATTATTGTAATTACTTTACTATCATTTCCTGCCTCTAAGTTATGTACGGGAAGCTAAGCCCTGTAAGTTTATATTTCCCTATGCATTCTGCTTAGTGATATATTCGAAAAGGTTGGTAAAGAAATAACTTGACTACGGTATGAAATATAACAGAAAAAAACGGACAGATCTAGAAAAAAGATAAACTAGTTAGAGCTTTGACAAATGAAGAGAAAYTTAGCTAGGATGATAAAGGGAGGAGCGACTCAGAATACAAGATAGAATGTCAAGAAAATCGAAGAGAGAGAGAGCCTGATAAAATAGGAGAGAGATAGAAATGTGGAAACAATCAAAGGAAATGGGAAAAAGGTGGAAAAGATTAAAAAAAGAGGGGACGAAAAAAGCAAGAGATCAGATATTACCTAAAGAAAAGAAATAGTAACATCTAAGCTGACTAACAGCTTTATTCATTAGACTCGGGAATTACAAAAATCACCACAACCGACATCGGTATTGACGTTGGATGGGAAAATCGTGCGCCATACTGTTTAGGAGTAATCGAAGACAAAAGAGTATTTGCTTTCTCTGCCCACTCTTCACGTAGTGTACTTCAACACTGTTTAATGGTGACAAGATATAAAAGGCTACGACAACAAGTTCGTGTGGGAATACAATGCTTATGAGAGATGGACGGAAAATCAAAACCGTTATGARCGGACTAATTACAACACGTCCAACTTGCTTATTTACTTAAAATAACGGAAATAACTCCTGGACGCTTTTTGTGAATTTGTTGATAAACCATTAACTTGGCGGAAAAGAGCACAAATTATCCCTCCTTTATCATTAAAAAGGATTGTTTTATTTAAAAAAATTAAGAACGCTTTGAAGAGCCGTTAGTTATTAAAGTTACCGATATGTTTTGTTGTCCAACATAAGTTAGAGCGCTAGAAATTTGAGCTTCTGAAAAAATGATTTTGCGAATGTAGTATCCCATGATGCCTCGAGGAGGGCCATCTTTCTCTTCATTATCTGTTCATATGGTTAGTCTTGAAACATTACGTTACACGGCACAAGGTTCACGGTTCCTTAAATGAATTGTTGATAGTTATCGCGTTTGTCCTCGTCCCGCGACGCCAAACAGTTAGTACTTTCAACAGATATGTTTGATATCGTAATTAGTTCATTGTAACAAACAATAAAACCGTCTTTCAGAATGGAAAATGGGGGAAAAATAGTATAATTTAATGGAATTGTCGTGTGAAGCTCGCACCCACAAAATTGCAAAAAGAAATATGGCTATTTATGTGTATATATATCTTCTATATTACATTGATTATAACCCAGCTTTCTCAAAATGCAAACTACTTTTATGAATAGTCTTGTATCGAAATMTTAAACCTATCTACAAAATGGCCGCCGGTCATTAGCACAACGATTTTTCAACCTGGTTCAGAATACTTCAGAATGTCCATCAAGAACAAGGTAGGATCAGACGGAAAGACCACTTCAATGGTCAAAATCAAAAAGGGACGGCGGAAAGTTACTCAAAGAAAACACACACGTTTGCTCATATACTATATTGTAGAGGTTCAGGTGTGAAAATGTGTGATGAGACCAAAATGGATAATACGAGCGATAAAAAGAAAAAGGAAAATAGTACGGTCTACTGCAAATCACTCGCTCATAAGTGTACTTTTTCCAGGGAAATGCGAATATAACATAAGGTACATTTACCGAGTATTCTGTTCATCCCCAAGCCCTTCAAAATGCGCATGCTTTGTGTCTATTGACCAATAAGGGGGCGGATTATTTTCGAAATGCCCGAGTAAAACTCGAACAATACGATAAGAGTTACTCTTTAAAAGTATCTTTTTTGCTCAAATTATAGCAATCGCTCTTAATAAGTTAGTAAAGACTTCCTTCATCTTGTAATTAACTTCGAAAGACTGCTAATATTGAGCAATATTGAGAGAAACTTTGAGTCAAAATTTCCATATATGATTGAATAGCTAAATACAATTGAAACATCAATCAACATACTTCAATGATTCCTTGAACAGACATAAATTATTACCGTATCAAAAATATTGTTGCTGTATTTGAAGGAACAAAAAAAAAACTGAGTTGAAAAATTAAAACTTTGCTTCACGAAATCTGGAGATCTTAAAGGAAGTGATTTTCTTTGAAAACTGCATGAGTTCAATCACTCCCAGCACGAGGCCAGCTCGCTCTATTGTGTACAAAGATCCTCACCTTCAAAAAGTAATTTTGCAGTGATAGATAGGTGTTTGTTTATGAAATCGAGGATGYAAACATAAAAGCAAATCCCACCTAAACGTGTTCTATGACTGCGGGATTAATAGGAACGCTCGAAATCTCAGTTGCGAACACAAACCAAATGTGAATTGTTAATTCTTTTCTGTGAAGAAAATTATAATTGGTAATAACATACGAAATAATTCAATGGTTTGACTATATACAGAGCGAAAACTCACAAGAAAAAAACAGGAAAACTTGATAACAATAAAGATTCATGAAATGTCCCGGCGGCGTGCGTCACGGTGATATTACAAGACGAATCGGAAAGCAAAGCACAAATATTTGAAAAAATTAAACCATAAAGTATGGGATAAGAACTATATAAATAAGCTTTTGAAATCGGCAGAGAGCCGATATTGAGTTCGCAAGAGTTTTCCGAGAGTAATAATAAGTTTGAGAATTGAAAAGATCGGAGGCTTATACGAATTAAATCTCAGTTATTTTAAAAAGGCTGTATTGAATCACTTTTTACTTATCCCTTAAAATGCCATTCCCTTTTCCAAGTGTCATGGAGTTTAAGCTTGTTGTTTCATTATATTACTTCTTTTTTCTAACTTTCAAATTAGGAATATTGATTACATGGTTTAATATTCAAACAAACGTTATTTTTTTTTCTGTTTATCATGATCCATGGCTTAGGTTCGCCTCCTGAAACAATTACACTAATTCAACGTGCTTGCGGTACATCAAAGATTCTGCTCTGTTGATATTATTTGTGACTTTTGCCAATATACGTGATTATATTTATAGGAGGATGAATGTATACTTTAAAAGACTTTCAAATTAACTTTGTTAGGACTTGGCTTCCTCTTCATTAGACAGATTTACCTTGTCAATAGTTGAACCGTTTTGCTAATTGTATAATATCATTTGTTGCCCTTAAAACAGCATTTACTGTCCTACAATATCACGGAGATGTAATGCATCGTAAGTTGAATAGAAAMTATCTTTTGATTAAGGAAATTTTGAACCCTTTGACACATATTGCAAACATGTTCTAAAATATAAAAGAAATTATGGGATATCATTGCTCGTAGTGGTTTAGGAAGGACRTGTTTCAGGCCAAAAATTAACTTTATTATAGTATCTTTTCATTAAAAACATTTCAAAAGCARGAGAGGCTGTTGATGGCAAGGTGTTTTGAGTTAATGAGCTATATTTATGGCAGAAAAAAAAGATCTAACGAGCGATTGAAATCTAAAAGGAAATTACATTCAGCGATGCTGCCATCGATCACCAGTACAAAGGACACCAAATCGGATGCAATGTTTTGCACGAGATTTCCTAAAATCGACATATTTCAAAATAGACGATTTGATTGACGTTTATGCAAATTAGATAACAATTTATCGCCGCGCTTGCACGACGCAGTAAAGAGACATTAGCACATACCTTGTCCTTGTCAGTTACAACAGCCCCAAGCTCCAGTAATTTCTCCACTATGTTATGTTTATTGTCCCTCGATGCGAGCATCAAAGGTGTCAGACCATTATCCTAGAATGAAATATTAAATTCGTCGTGAGATTCACGGTTTGACTTCACAGCAAAAAAGTCAACAACAAAACTACATGTTTTTTTCCCGCCAAAACCTTTCACCTTATAACAATGGCTCCGTCTCTACATGATACACTACTTCTTATATCATACACATACACATACATCAATACATACAATACATGAATAATATATAAAACGTCGTGGGGACGAGAGTTAGGATAGAGTTTGCATAGTCGTGGGTTATTCAAACAAAGACTTTTTTCCCTAAAATTATCGAAGCCAGCTGATCACTCAAGTCAAACAGCTTTGGGAGTCTTTTTTTATGAATTCAACAAACTCAACCGTGACATACAAAACTGAAACCTTGCACTAACGCTGGACATTGATGCAGATGGCTTGAGATCGCTTTGAGGAGGTCTCGTCTACATGTACATGTCCTTCATCTTGAAACTAGTGACRTTTTTTGAAAGAAAGTTTGCTGGCCATATGTATTTTAYCATACCTACCGCCGATAGCAATTAAAAAATACTTAGAAGGTAGAACTGGCGTGAATTACAGTTAATATTGATCATTATTCCCTTGCGATTTCTAAATAATGCGATAAAACTTGTTTGGATGGTGCAAAATTTGAATTTTGGACTATTTTGAGATTATAACTATTTGGAAGTATGGTGCTAAATTAATATGTTATAGCGAGAAATGATTTATTCAAATGTTTGGAACACWGAGTCACTTGAAGTCGGCCAACCATTGAAGGGTTATAAAAATTAGTTCCAGTAATAATGACTATAATGATTTTAACTCTAGAAAAGAAAAGGAAAAAAAGAAAAAAGAAAAGAAATGGAAATGAAAAATCGATTCGATTCAGCAAAACATTTGGTGGCTAAATTCAAAAGGAACACTTTTGAATTTGCATGGATTRATATATGTAACTTTAAAATCCTTAATAAAATTAAAACTCAAAATATCACTCAAATAATAATATCCTAAAACTGACAGCTTCAATTTGGTATGAAATAAAAAGATGTGAAAAGTAGGAAAGATAAAAATCATCCAGCATGATAAACAAAGTCATTGCTGAGAGAGCTGATTTCATACGTATCGCCATCGCAACCAAGCACGCGTTTAACTGTATAGAAAAGAAAGTCAGTTACTTCAATTGAGGAAGTCGAYATGTCCATGTTATTCTTTTCCAAGCTTGAAAGATGTTGATCAACGGCAGGCCAGTCTCTCTTCAAAGACAGTGTCATTACACGGCTCAAGAGCTCAAGTTTTAGCAATGCAGGAGATATGTCCTTTAGTTGTTCTAGAGCAGCGCGAGACCCTCGACGTACGTTCGCCAAAGATCCTGTCGGACTCGGTGGACGCAAAGAAGCGCGCCGGCTTGCTGTAGGAACATCGTTAAGTGAAAAAGAAGATGATTTGCTGTCCATAATTGAATATTTTCTTCRTGTAAGATGTACATGAGTTACATTAGGTAAGCATTTAACCTATGGCTTCAGAAATGTTATTGGCAAAGTTTGCATAGGTCGCACCTCTCAACTAGTGACGCGACAAATAAATCTTCCAAGACCACGTTCATCTCCTTTTACCCATCACGCATGCGTAAGTGTTCTGGTTTTCCGGCTGTTTCGGGTCAAGGCGACAATGTATCGCCAAAGAGGAACATAAGTAGACTGATGAACTTTATTCTTGTGTAAATAAGTCTTAAACGTTSAGCCGAGGACACCCAGTCGCTGGGTCTAAATCTGAACGGAAAGCAAACACAAAATGCTATCTTAGCGATTGACAAGTGAATTCAGGCCGTCTCGAGTGGAAAAACCTCAAACAAATGTTTTTGGCTCAGRTARAAAAACATATTTTGTCAGCATCAMCAATCCAAGATAACTAAATTACCGCACCTTRCTAAAGCGAAGAAATAATAATATGGCGAGTGACCAATTGAATTTCTTGAAGAACCAACACTATGGAAATGACTACTCAAAGCCCTCAACTTGCGTGCGTTTGTTTTGAAGTTTTATTACTTGGACGATATATGAATCTTTAAATTCATAACAACAAGCTAACCTACAGAAAAATTAAAAAAAACCTCTCATTTGGAGATATTATATTGACGAAGAATTGTGATATATAGCGGGTATGTTGGAAGAATAGGAAAACAGCTGTACAAATTCTCGTCTGAACATCAAAACATGAAAATGATCTTCCAAGTCAAGAACRTAATCATTATTACACGAAATTAAAGCATGCATTTTGCTGAAATATTCTACCTCATTCCCTCCTTATATATTGAAAGTAAACTTATTTATAGTAAATCCCCATCAATAGCTAAAAATTCACTATAATAGTTTGGTAAAATATTACTTTTTCTCTTATTACACATCCGATACGCCTGAGTATTTTGAGTATCGAAAACCGGAATTGATGACCCACTTAGACGAACTATTCATCTTTAAATCAAACGAAAAAAGATTAATGAAAAAATACTGCTGCCATAACAACAATAGCTTGTAAATAAAGTGCTAGAGTCTTGTCAAWCGRATTCGAAGTTTGCTGTGCTACAATGAGTAATCTGCTGGCTGGATATTGAAAATTAACCATAAGGGCAATATCKAGAGAAGAGTTTCAGGGAAACGTTTTTGGGATGGTGCAATATTAYGTCCTTCATAYAAGMACCGTTTAATAACGTAATTTTCTGTTTTAGTTTCTCAATACTGATACCTCAAGACCTGGGGGGCATAAAGTGATCATATTTTCATGACTTTCAATAATTMAGTTYTCYRAAASAAGAAAATCTTASCATCCAAATTTCAGAAAACTGGCTCTTAATGGTATTTTTTTWWT